TGAGTATGTACAGACAACACACGTCGCACGACTCTGGGTCAAAACAATCATCGACCCAACAGGCAGCATGGCGGAGACAAAATCGGTGAGTGTCACCCTGAGACAAGGGGACAAAGCAACCTTCAAACTCACAGGACGCGAGGGGGGGACTCAGAGGTCACATCCATCGGATTATGTAGCCCCCGTGGGGTTTCCCAGGACCCTTAGCCATGGTTACACACTAAGGGAAGCCCTGGCTGGGTACTGCAAACCGGCGTCCAGGTCTACCAAACAAACTTCTAAAGGTGAACCCCCTGGGACGTGTCTACTCATGGGGGCCAAGCGGGAAGGACCACCAAACACAAATATAGATATATATATACCCCCAGAACAGCAATTGGGGACCAAAAAGGCAGACCCCCCACCAGGCAGAAAACAAAAATATAAGAAAAACCCCACAAGAGGACAACGTACCCAGGTGGCACAAAGCCGGCCGCTGTTATTGGTGAAAACTAGCTGTGCAGTACCCCGTGACCCTGCCAGTGACGATAGCTACTCCCTACCCAGAGACAAACAAGGGTAAGAAAACCCCAGCAGACTCCAAGGGCGGCCAAATACCGAGCAGTAAACGGCACAGCAGAGGTAGATCCGAGGTGACTTGTGGAAAGAGACCCCAAGCCCCAAGGGCAGTACTTACAGGGCACCTAGGGAACAGAACCCTAGGCACATGCAGCCCAAGTACCATGGAATACGACTCCTGGCTCATGCACCACCTGAAAGAGACAGCCCACACCACAAGGCACAGGACTGAAACAAAAACTGGAGCCAGAGGCACAACTGCACCAGACTCCCATCAGCCAAGAACTAAAGGTTGGGTCGCCAGTGGGTGGGTCTTGGGCTTCCCCTTTCCCCTCCTGGGGAGGGGGGTTGCGCAGACAGCAGTGCGACGACATGATGACGTCATGCTAGTTTGCTAATTTTCGTTTGGGGAATTCTGTCCACTTGTTCGGCCTTCTGTCACATTAGTTTTACCAGAATAGGGGGTTTGTTTTCGCGTGCTTACCTTTCTGGGTGCCTGTCCCAGTCGATGGCAAACATAGACTGCTCCCAACCACAGGGGGGGTCTCGATAGGCCATTGCTCCTTGTGCCTCTCTAGAGGGGGCCAGGTTCTGGCTCGTGGTCCCCGGTAGGCAAGAACTCCATGCATTGACTGATGCCAAAAAGATATACATATCCTCAGAAAAGTACAATGGGCAGCATAGTCAAGCATGATCTGTACTCGCCTAGTTAACCTAGTGTAACACCTCTAATATAGTGGGTTACAAAGTTTTTTCACTCCAGATGTTCTATTTTTTGTTTGCACAATCTTTTTCATCACTTTGCATGGTATGCAAGTTAGGAACACTGGCCTGTAGCTCAGTGCCTCCTGTCTATCACCCTCCTCGTATATCAGGCCTACATTAGCCGTCTTCCAAATTTTGTGCAGTTCTGTTTCCAGTGATTTCATATGCACCACTGAGAGTGGTAGGCATAGTACTTCTGCTCATTTTAGTATTCATAGTGAGAGTCTATCCAGGCCTTTGCTACATACAACTAAAGCAAATGCTTACTTGCATCCCCACTGATAATCACAAACTCCTCCAGTGGTGCCTGGTTAGATATTCCCTCTTTTATCTCTGGAACTACTTCTTGCTCTAATGTGAAAAAGACCTGAAATTTCTTATCGAGTTCCTCACACACTTCCTTGTTATTTGAAGTGAACCTGTCTGCCCCTATCCACAGTGTCATTACCTGCTCCTTCATGGTTGTTTTCCTTCTTATGTGGCTGTGCAACAATTTTGGTTGAGTTTTTGCTTTACCTGTACTTGATGTGTCATTTTTGTACCGTCTTTCTGCCTCTCTTCTCGCCCTGGGGTACTCATTTCCTGGCACTCTGGTATCTTTCTCTGCTCTCTGGTGTCCTGTTATTTCTATACTTTCTCCATGCCCTTGTACTTAGTTGCTTTGACAGTTTACCTGTGTAAACAATTATTGTGTCCCTGTACCTTAGTGACACAACTTCTGTATGTGCTCTTAACCCTTAAACTGCGCAACGCGCCTGCAGGCTCACGTCTGGTTTGCGCAACGCGCCTCCGGGAATTTGTATTTTTCACGTTCCATTCAAAACTCCCGCGGCTACATGGGGTTCACATCAGCTTCCTCAGGGCTTTTGTAAACAGACGCCATCTTAAAAAAAAATCGTGGTCCACATTCCCGGGTGTGGGAGCCTCAGTAGTGTGTGAGCAACCAAGGCTGGCGCTCGCAGCATGAGCGCACAGCACTGCTGTTCAGCATGTGACCACAGCATCGCCTAATAATGTCAAAATATATATATAACTTGTATTATTTAGCTATGATAGTGTTATATTAGAGCCTGAGTGTGATAATGACTGGGTACAATGTTCAAATGTCAGTGATTCAATGCTGTTCACGATGTTCACAGCGCTAGCCACAGCACCACAGCATTATTTCGTTCATCTAGGAATCTTCAAATGATTTCTTAGGTTCCTTTTCAAAATATATGTGTGGTCAATTATTCATTTACAGGAATTAGTGACCAGGATTGTGATAATAGCAGGATTGTGGTTATAATTAGCGTTGTGCGTAGTATTGTGGAAGGAGGAATTTTGATGAGGGAGGGAGGGCGAGAATTGAGGTAACCTCATCGTGTGTGTGGCTGCCACTCTTGTTTTGCTCACTATACTAGCTTAGTATTTCGCTATGGGCAACACATATGTACATGGGTATATATAGTGTGTGTATATAGTGTAAGAACAGCAACAGGAGAATGTTGAGAGGAGCTATTTTGGTGAGGGAGGTGACGTAATCGTAGCGTCGTCTGCTGTGTGATTTTTCATGCAGTGTATTGTGGCCACTGTACTGTTTGGACACAATACCGGCTTACTTGCATAGTTCTGGTAAATAAAACATGTAGATAGGTATATAGAACATGTGTAATAAGAACTATAACAATATGGTGGGATGAGCAATGTTGGCGAGTAAGATGTTGGAGTGAGGGAGACTGGCTGCTCTCACTCGAGGTGTTCTGAATGTGTTCATGGCCAAATGCTCCTATTGGCCCATACGAGGCAGCTGCTATTGGCCCATACGGGAAAGCTGCTATTGGCCCATACGAGGCAGCTGCTATTGGCCCATACGGGGCAGCTGCTATTGGCCCATACGGGGCAGCTGCTATTGGCCCATACGGGGCAGCTGCTATTGGCCCATACGGGGCAGCTGCTATTGGCCCATATGAGGCACCTGCTATTGGCCCATACGAGACAGCTGATATTGGCCCATACGAGGCAGCTGATATTGGCCCATACGAGGCAGCTGATATTGGTCCATACGAGGCAGCTGATATTGGCCCATACGAGGCAGCTGCTATTGGCCCATACGGGAAAGCTGCTATTGGCCCATACGAGGCAGCTGCTATTGGCCCATACGGGGCAGCTGCTATTGGCCCATACGGGGCAGCTGCTATTGGCCCATACGGGGCAGCTGCTATTGGCCCATATGAGGCACCTGCTATTGGCCCATACGAGACAGCTGATATTGGCCCATACGAGGCAGCTGATATTGGCCCATACGAGGCAGCTGATATTGGTCCATACGAGGCAGCTGATATTGGCCCATACGAGGCAGCTGATATTGGCCCATACGAGGCAGCTCCTATTGGCCCATACGAGGCAGCTCCTATTGGCCCATACGAGGCAGCTCCTATTGGCCCATACGAGGCAGCTCCTATTGGCCCATACGAGGCAGCTCCTATTGGCCCATACGAGGTAACTGATATTGGCCCATACGAGGCAGCTGCTATTGGCCCATACGGGGCAGCTGCTATTGGCCCATACGGGGCAGCTGCTATTGGCCCATACGGGGCAGCTGCTGTTGGCCCATACGGGGCAGCTTGTATTGGCCCATACGGGGCAGCTGATATTGGCCAATACGAGGCAGCTGATATTGGTCCATACGAGGCAGCTGCTATTGGCCCATACGAGGCAGCTGTTATTGGCCCATACGGGGCAGCTGCTATTGGCCCATACGGGGCAGCTGCTATTGGCCCATACGGGGCAGCTGCTATTGCCCCATACGAAGCAGCTGCTACGCGGTGTTCTGAATGTGTTGATGGTGAATGTATATAGTGTGTGACAGTGTATAGTGTGTAAATAGATTGTATATATACACAAATTAGCATGGTACATAGTAAATATGTGCTGCATATGTGTACACAAGTTTCATGCACGTAACACAGTGTCTACGGACAGTACGGATGTTGTACTGCGATATTATAGTGTACGTGTTCATTATACATTGGATTGGCACGTAAAAACAATGAAAATGTATTTGGAAAGGTGCGCAAAAAATTAACGAAAATATATTCGCGGCAACTTGCGCGCCCCGCCCCGAGCGCCCCACCGCCCCCCAGAGCTTACGGCACGGGCGCACGGGGAATGATGACGTCACGCCCCAACTTCCGGACCCCATAGCAGCCAAAGTAAGTACAATTTCGACTTTTTTTTTACATACCCATACTGAGGGAAGGGTTTTTGACACTTTAAAAAGAAAAAAGAATTTTTTCCAGAGAATTTATTTCCTGCGCACTGCGGGGGTGTCACATTTGGAGGCAACGCAGTTAAGGGGTTAATATGCATGCCCATCATAAATGAGTATATCCCAAGGACAGCACCAAGTAGTTGTGAAAGTAGTAGTAATAAATTAAAGATGAAAATAATCATTGCTGAAGCACTAATTGAGCTGATGTGGTAAAGATAACGTGAGGTAACAACACTGTAGAAATGCACAAATGAAATATCAACAACAGTAATAGCACAAGAAAAGTTTCTGAGAATAGAACACGTCACCCAAGTATCATACATTAGTTATTATGATACGGAATTCAGGGCCAAGTGATAGAACCTGGAGTTTACCTTATCCTAAATATATGAATATTAAATCTTATTGTAAGTGAATAACATACCTAGGCTTATCAGCACTGTCCAGGTACTTGTGTAAGGTACGTTCCAAAAAATCTGAATGAGTATAGTGATAACTATCAATATTACTAGGAGCCTTTGGTAGCAGCAGAGAGGATGGAGGAGTTAGTTGCCCTAGAAATGTTGATGCGGCAAAGGGTTTCTGGAAAAGAAAACAAGTATTATGAAAAAACCAGCGTTGAATATAATGAAACACATTTTCTGGGTGTGACCCGGAGGCTCCCCGGAGCTTACTAGGCTGATATGCTAATGTCAGACTTTGGCATCAGTCATGTGTATGGAGTTCTATGGGCCTACTGGGGACCACGATTCTCAGAGAGGCATGGTGAGCAATGGCCTATAGAAACTCCTGTGTGGTTGGAAGCATTCTATGTCTGCCATCGACCGGGTCTGGCACCTAAAAAGGTAAGCATCCCAAAATAAAACCCTATTCTGGTGAAAATATTGCTACCAAAAACCGAACAAGTGGATAGAACTCCCCTAAAAAGAAAAGAGCAAACGAGCATGATGTCACACGTCACCGCGCCGCTGTCTGTGCAGCTCCCCCCTCCCCGGGAGGGGAAAAGGGGAGCCCCAGACACCCCACTCCGGCTATCCACCCGTAAGTTCTGAGGCTGGATGTCAAAACACGCAAAAAACCACCGACCAGAGGGAGGGAGGGATGCCGGGGAGCCTCCGGGTCTCACCCAGAAAATGGCGTTTCATTACATTCAATGCTGGTTTTCTGGGGGGAGCCCAGTCGGCTACCCGGAGCTAACTCACCACAGAGGAAAAACAAAGGGACTTACCCGGGAGGCAGTCGCTGCTCACTCCTCAACTTGAAGTCGAGACAACTGGCTGCTACCGCCGACCCAAAGCGACACAGGGCCAAGGAGGCCCAGGGACGTTCACTAGATAATGAGCAGCCAGGACCCTGTTCGATCTCCAAAAGCCCCGTGCCCGACTGTCAGCCCAGGACATGTTGCTAAAGATGGCAGCAAGAGCAGCGAACTTACGAACGTCATGGGCACGTGGATACTCTGCAGGTTGGCTAGTCTTAATCACTCTGCAAACGACCTGGGAGACCCGCACCCGCGAACAGGGAAGAAGGAAAACCGGATCAACCAAAAGCGTGTCCCCGGACACAGAAGCCGTGGTGTGCAACCGAACACAAAACATGATGCACCCCTGGCCTGACCAACCAAGCATCAACAACCCAGGTACCCCTCTGGAAAGCAGCTGTCTCATTCTTCGTCAGAAAAGGAGGAGACAGCTGCAAACGAACAAAACCATCACAAAGACCGAAGGAGCAGAAATCCCTGCGCCAGAGGAGAGCATGCAGCTCCCCAACCCAACCCCCAGAGGCCAATGCCAAACGATAAAAAATAGCCTTGGAGAAACAGTCCTGAACCGAAGGGGCCACAACAAACCGAGGAGAAGAAAGAAAAGAGAGCACTCTGTCCAAAGACCAGGACGGCTCAGGCGGCACACGAGCAGGCCGGAGGTGAAACAATGCACGAGACAGCTTGCGAAATGGCGCAGAAGTAACATCAATACCGAAAGCAAGCGGCTCCGCCAGCGCCACACGATACGAGGCGACAGTGTTAGGCCTAAGGTGATGGTCCTGGAACAACCAAGAGAGAAAGGACAACACGACCCGAACAGAAAGCGAAGCCCAAAGATGAAAAAGAAGCGGAAGGACTGCCAGGAGACTTCATACTGCTGCCGAGACGAAGCCCGCAGGTGGGACACCAACAAAGAAGCCACCTGATCACCATAGAGATGATGATAAACCAGAGTCAAAAAGACCATACGCAAAGACTCGAGAAGATCGAATCAGCCATGTGATGTACCGGGCCGATCTGTTGGAAGAGGCGGAGCCGCGGGAAAACCTCCGTGTTCGGACAACAGGCAAGCAGCACCTGAAACCACGGCTGGGCCGGCCACCACGGGGCCAAGACGCTGCACTCTCCTGGTAGGTCTCCAAGCGAGTCAGGACCTGGAGCAACAGCTGAACCGGGGGAAAAAGGTACAGGAACCCCCACCTCGACCAGTCCTGCAGAAAGGCATCGACCCCGACGGCCTCACAATTGGGGAAGGGTGCCACATACTGGGGTAGGTGCCGCGACCAACCTTGAGTACTTACAGGGCACCTAGGGACGAGAACCCTAGGCGCATGCAGCCCGAGTTATGTAGAATAACTCCTGGCTCTCACACCCCTGGAAGTCAGCCACCACACTCAAGCACAGTGCTGGAAACTCTGGAGCCAAGCACACGACCTCCGCCTCTAGTATCAGCCTGAGAACTGACGGGTGGATAGCCGGCTATCCATCGGCAGAGGGGATAGCTCCCCCCCTTCCGGGGAGGGGGGAGCTGCGCAGACAGCGGCGCGGCGACGTGACGTGTGACGTCATGCTCGTTTGCTCGTTTCTTTTAGGGGAGTTCTATCCACTTGTTCGGCTTTTGGTAGCAATATTTTCACCAGAATAGGGGTTTGTTTTGGGATGCTTACCTTTCTGGGTGCCTGACCCGGTCGATGGCAGACATAGAATGCTTCCAACCACACGGGGGTTTCTAAAGGCCATTGCTCCCCATGCCTCTCTGAGGGGGGTTAGGTTCTGGCTTGTGGTCCCTGGTAGGCCCACAGAATTCCACACACATGACTGATGCCAAAGTTTGACATTAGCATATCAGCCTAGTAAGCTCCAGGGAGCCGAAGGGGCTCCCCCCAGAAAAGCAAACCTCACAAAACGCTATTGCATCGCTCTTCTGCGCAGCTCCAAACCTGGACCCACCGTGGATGTGGTGGGTCCACTCCCTCTCCCAGGGAGAGGGGGGGGATCGGGGGGGAAGGAAGGGGCTGCGTGGAAGAGCGACACGACAGTGGGGGGGGTGAAGTTTGTTTGGCTTTCGGCTGTAAATATGATAACCACTCTTTAAGGTTATCTATAACCAATCTTTTACAGTAATCTCACGTTTTGTTTCTATTGGCTAATGCTTTATTTCTCATTTGGTGGCCATCACCCTGGGAAACAGCAAAAACTTTATTGCTAATTGTACAAAATAACAATGGTTCAGTGGATACCCAACTGACTTACCTTGAGATGATTATCTATTTCCTGTAAACTGATCGACAGGGACTCTTCATGAGGCTTCTGAGTTCGAGTTAGTCTGTGCACATGGTTATGGTTTGTCTGAGCTTGGTGCTGATATAGAGCCATGAGTCTGTCATGCCTCACTCTCCACGTGTCTTCTCTTTCATCATGTATACTCAACTGTGCACGGAGACGGATGATTTCTTCAGATTTCTTGCCGAGCTCGTTCTCAAGAGTCTGTTCTCGAGCTCCTCTAGATTTGGCTTGAGATTCCTGTTGTTTATTTTGCTCTTCAATTACTTGATTAAGTTCTGCAAGCTTAGCACTTAATTCTAAGTTATATTTATTCTCAATTTCCTTCTGGAATAGTTGGAGACTCGCCTTTGACACATATTCCAGTGGAATTTTTCTTTGTATCTGATGTAACTGTTCTTCAGTTTTCTTCTGCATCTGTTCGGCTAATTCTTTTTCTTGTTTGATTAGTTCATACGTTAGTTTTTCACTTTTAAGCAGCATAACAGCTTGTTTTAAATCAAGTTTTTCTTTATTTGCAGCCTCCAATTTCTTTTTCAGTGCTTCCACAGCCATGTCTCTTGATTTTATCTCTATTTCTGATTCTCTTATATGATCCTCCAGTTCTTGAATGGTCTCCTGATTTTGTCTGGCATTGCTAAGATCATGTTCAAGAAAGTTTAAAGAATCTTTTGACTTTTTATAAAGTTTTTCCAATTCTTCTTTGTTACTTTTCTCTAGTCTTAGTGCCACTTCAACTTCCTTCAACTGTAACTCAAGTCTCTGTGATCGATTTTGTTGTTCATTGTAGCAGGTTTCTGCCTCCTGCTTTTCCAACTCAAGCTTCTTAATCTCTTGCTTACTGTACCTTACATTATCATCATCATCATCTCTACCAGTTGGAGGTGTACGCTCTAACGATGTTTGCTGTAAATGTGTCATCAATTCTCGAGCTTTAGCCTCTGCTACCTCTTTAGCTTCTCGAAGACTTTGTAACTCACTTTCATACCACTGATGTTGTCGCTGCTCTGCCTGTAGCATTGAAGACAGCTTCCCATTTTCTGAAGTAAGGCGGAAGTTTTCTTGGCGGACCTTGGCAGTATCCTCACTATGACTTACATTCTTAATGGCTGCCTGGTGAATTTCTTCGTCCTTTTCCTTAAGGACGCTTTCAAAGTAGTGCAACTTTTCATACACAGACTCAATCTTCAACTGTTGCTCCTCCTCTTTGCATTTTAGATATTCCATTTTTATAGTCTGTAAAGGATACAAGAAAAATTAAGATATATTCAGGATTATATATACTATTCAGTACTGTATTTAAGAACTTTTTGTTTAATTCTGGATCCTAAAACTTAAGATTTTAAATAAAGCATTAAAAAATAAGTAGGTGTAGATGCAAAGCTTATTTCTGAAGATGTCAGTTATTGCCTCGGCAATGTCCCCTGTGAAAGCAAGAAATTGTCCAACTCCAGTCAGCGTTAGTGTGGTCTGTGAAGAAGCCAGTATAAATTTGGCATAAATGTCCAAACACTGCGCCACCAGAAATAACCAGGTCCTGTGGAAGCACGATATCACAATACAGAAGCATGACAGGCCACCTCTTGACAGGCAGGGATGGCCAGCTCACAAGTTCAACTCTGGAAAACATTCCTGAATCTAACTGACTCAAGGATAAAATATATCAGCTCCTGAATCTAACTGCCAGAGGGGCAGAGGCACACTGCTGCTGTCACAGGGGCAGCTGAAGTAGACAGCAAGAGTGACCATCAGAAACCAAGAACAATGAAAAACATTCACACATCGTCGGCTCAAACATAAAATGTGTTCCAACCTCAATTTTCGATCCCATGTCCAATACCTGGGATATTAGACAGCTGCCAGAGGGGCAGAGGCACACTGCTGCTGCCATAGGGATAGCCAGCTCAATTTGTGAATGAAGTGATAATATTTGATCAAAAGTGATCACTGAGCCTCCAACTGGAAAAAACCTATTTGGTATTTTAGTGGACGACGCAACATATGCCCGGGCGAAGGAACCATGAGCTGCATATGGAACCATCATTTTCCATATGCAGCCATGGAAAAGAACAATCATGCAGGCAAATGTATCCTCTGCAAAAGTGCAACACACAAGGAGCAGAGGCCAGGCATGGTCACAACATAAGCACACAGCTAACTACTAAACTCCTCATCAACAGGTTTTGCAGTGGAAAACATGTCCCATGTGTTACCCAAGGTCAAGGTGACTCAAGAGGAATAAGTAATCAAAGGAAAGCACCAAGCCAGGAAAACTATGAGCACCATCTGTGTTCTGGGATATTCAAAAGGTGCTAAATAACACTCGGCATGACAATACGAGAACAAAAGGACGTAATGCAGGAGACATCAAAGCTATCGGGTTCTATCTTGGGACAAGTGACCCAGAGGGACAAATTTTAAAGTCATGCAATCATCCTGAAAATCAGCACATTCAACAAAGAGGTGCACGATTAATTGGGATAATAAAGTTTTGACAATAAGGAGCAGGCCATCATTTCATTATATACCCATGAGTTAAGTGCATGTGGCTCATATGCAGACCAGTCAAGAGCCGTTTCCAACTACCTATTACGTGATAAGAGAGGAAGGCCATGGGAACATGCCACCTTTAAGAATATGTGACTTGTGACTTATTATTATTATCATAAAAATTGTTGTATTTAATAATTATCACTCTTCCTTCTACTTGGTCTTGAAGGAGGCCGGCCTCGGGTGAAAGGGGCTGTGGCGATCTCTGTCTGGTACCAGTAGGTGCAGGACCAGGACGTCCACCTCCCGGGGGTCGTGCGACCCAGGCTCTGCTTCAGGAGGCTGGGGTTGTTCATACCCTGGCTGGGGTGGTTCTCCGGTCACGTCCACGACAGTCCCCAGATTTGGAGTCCCAGTGCCTTCCTTCACCAACTTCGAGGGCAACTCTGGAGCTCTCAGTTCCTGCGATGGCGCTAGAACCAATCGTATTGGTTGTATCGTAGCCCGTGCTACATGGAACTTTGTTCCAGGTAGCGAATCTTTAACAACTCGTATTGGGCCTTTCCATTGGAGACTTTCGGCGCCGTGGAGAGGGGGGTCCTGCCACATGGGTAACAGCTTCTCCTCCATATCAACCTATCCTGGCTTTGCGTCCTGGAGAGGCTACTCCAGACCGACAACCAGAGCGCAACTCCATAGTCTCCTGAGACCGATTAATGCCTACTACTCATAATGCCAGACCATCAACTCTACAATGGTTGCAGACTGTGGAATGAATGACTGGATAGAAATACCTTTACGAAAAATGAGAGGCATAAATGACTTAGCAGCAGTGATACCATTAAAGGTACCACCAATATGGCTGGGTACCCAGAAGAATTCGACTCTTAAATCTGTTGCTGGTGAGAAATGGCCAATACTGGATTTCGATCACCACAGGGACAAAAAGGGTTAAATGAATCTAGATATATAAAGCAATGCAAGTTAACAACAATGCAAAAGTAACTTTGATGCATAAAACGTAGCTGGTGAAGAGTATATAAAATTGCATAAAATCTTGCTATGAAGATGCTAGTTTCAGGGGGCAGGTGGCACATAGAGGGAAAAACAAGAGTAACAAACACTGTCAGTAAACTTTGACCCATTTGTGAATAAAGCAAGTGTGATTTGCAAGAAAAATGTTAAAGGAAAAGGCTTTTTGTAACAATAGGAGGGGTATAAGCCTTCACTATGCAGCTCTGGGCTTTGCCAAATGTCATAAATAGGACCCTCCATGGGAAGCAAAAGTAGGAACAACAAAAGGTGAGATATTAAAGGTGTGTACAGAGAGAATCTTGCATCCTTGAAATAAGGGCAAGACAGTAAGAGAGGACAGGGCCCTCCAGATGAGCAGTTGTCAGAGCATGGCACAGGTGGGAATGGAGGTGTTTTAAAGACAGCACGAAGTAACAACAAGTGGAGTGAAATCAAAGCATGGCCTAGGCCAGGACAAAGACCCAACTCAAAAGCAACCAGGCCACACTGATAACTAAACCAGACCATCACAGAAATGATAACTCGAAAGGCTGTTTGACGTTGACAACCAGGACCAGGTAACATTACTCTGAAATAAAGCAGAAGTGGATAGCACTAAACACATATACAAATGACTGGCCACATACTATGGAACAAACACTTAAGAATGCACACTGTACCGAAGCAAACTCTCCAGGAACACTCGGGTAACTTAACTTGGCGCGTCTCTGGCAAACAAGTGAGGGTAGTACCCAGTTTCTCCTTCCTAACTAGATTGCAACACAATCTGAAAACTCACTTGTCACTGTTGGCAACACATTTACAGAGTCCGGTGGGAATGTAGTGCTTGGCATGGACTCAAGTCTTGGCTCAGTGACTAAGGAAACCTTGCTCAACAAAGCATCTTGCAACTGCAACTAAATTAAATGTAATTCAGCTAGGCACTAACTGAACACTACAGCTTACCTGTTGTTGTAATTTTTCTTGTAGATTCTCTTTGCAGCTTGTCAACTTGGCCAATTCATTTTCTTTTTCATTTAAAGCTTCTTTTAAAGCACACACTTCTTTGTTGTCCTTAGATATCTGTCCTTGTACAATTGTGCTATGAATTTCTTTCTGTAAAACTTCAAGCTGCTGAATTATACTCTGATTTTGGAATTTCAATGTTGATACAGCCTGTTCATTGCTGGCTTTGAGTGAGGAAATTAGGGCCTCATCAATGATGCCCGAAGATGAAGGCAAACTCTGTGTTGCTTCCATTGATGATTGCACTCTTAAAATGCCAGACTTCATTCCTGACACTTGACTAGCCATCTCCATCACCTGCTTGGATAACCACACTACCTTCTCATCCTCAGCTATATTTACATGGTCACAAACCTCATTTATTCTCTTTAACACAGTTTGCTGAAGTCTGTGTAAGTGATCTTGAATTATATGGAAGTTTTCCTCTAATGCCTCACTGATGTTAGAGTTTGCTTCCGAGGTTCTGGTCTTCAGAAGTACCATAAGCTGTTTATTACTCTCTTTAATAGTGTTCATAAGTTCATTTATTTGAGTTTGATCTAGTCTGGTGTCTTTATTTGCTGTTTGCAGACCTTGTTCAAGTTCAGATACTTTATTCTGAATATCATCTGACATTTTTTTTATTCCATCTTGTACTTCATAAATATCTTGAACTGTGCAGCTTTTTTCTACTGACAACGTAAAGGATTTCTGAAGTGTTTCTAGCTTGTCTATAATGCCTCTGGTTAGACTATCAGATACTCCACTGTCATCTGAACACTTGGACAATTCCAGTGTTTTTTTAACTTCACCAATATGAGTCTCAAAATGTTGTTTCATATCATTATATCCATGTGACCTGGAGTCTCTGCTTTCTTGAAAGTATTCAGATATACAGTTAAAAAATTTGTCATTGTTTTGCTTTAATTCTCCTAACGATGATGAAATATTGATCATCACTTGCTCACTGGATACCTGACTCTGATGAAGGCCATCAAGTTCTTCTCTAAGATTCTGAAATCTTGACTGAATGTCTGAATTTACCTCTGTGATAGAATCCTTTAAATAACTACATTTTATTCCTGCAACATCATCAGACATTTTAGTCACAGTATCTAGCTGATTCTGCAGCAACTCTTGTAAATGCAAAATTCCCTCGCTAAGCTGGCATTGGGTCTCTCTATTTTGAAATGACGATGTCTGCTGTAAGGATGTATTAATGATACATTCAAGTTTATCAATTTGACCAATGATAATTTGTTTTATCATCTCTAATACTGAGGTCTGGCTCGTTTCATTTTTTTCGATAATAAGAGACTCAAGATCATGAGAAAAGGTTTGCAATATGGGTTCTACCGCAGATGCTATCAACTGAACTTGGCTACTTTCTCCCACAGTTTTTTGGGAAGATTCTGAATCACAATCAGAAGTCACTGTATCTGTTTGAATTGCAGCTTGCCTTATCATTGTTACTGTCTGACTTGATGAATCATTGACAGCTTTCTCACCACTGCCACACAGGCCTTCCATTGCAGTTTGAACAGACTGAGTTTGTGTGCATATTTGTGTCTGGCATGACTTTATCAATCTTTCTGGAGTACATTGGACTTGTGCACTTATTACATTTGTGCTGTATGTGCCTTCAGTTTGAACTGCTTCATCCATCATACATGGGGTCGTTCTGTGATCACTGTTACTTTCTTCGGGCAGTATTGAGTCTGTAACTGTTTTGATTATACTCACTGAAGCAGAGTTACACGTCTGTGACAAGTTAAGCTCTTTTAACTCGGCTGCTGAATTTTGCATATTTTTATCTGTTGTAATCCCAACATCTACTGAAGTTGATGTGGAATTTGTTTGAGTGGCAGATTCTTTTCTATCAAAAAATACAATGTCAGTCTGGGCACAAGTTGCAACAGTCTCTCCAGTATTCATATAGATAGCCTCTGTCTGACAACTTTTCATCGACACATACCTGAAATGTTTTAGAAAGTTAATAACGTTTATTGTGAATTAAGAGTAAACACGTATTGGAAAGTAAAGCAAATATCTCCTATGGAAAAACCTATTATAAATAAATGATTCCCCAATCAAGTGACAGACATTATGCTTAATAAAAACTAGGTTTAGCAATAAAGATGCTATAAATATCATTCAGTACTGTAAGATATCTACTTTGTCTGAGATGTCAGCTCTTCCAGTTTTCCTTGAAGACTCTGGTTAATACGTTCTTTAGTTTGAAGTTGTACCATTAGCGAGTCTACCAATTGCTCTTGGTGTTGAGCATGTACACGAAGAGTGCTACATTGTTCTTCAAGCTGGGTACAACGACTCTGAAAGTCTTCAAGGGACTGTTCCTTAAGCCGAGAAGAATCTTGTTCACATCGGCTCTGATATTCTAGCTGCCTGATACGTCCAGCCAGAGTGGAAACCTGTATAAAACATTTTACTATAAATGCTACCCCTGTTGGAGCAGGAAGTAATTAAGATAAATGAGTTATGAAAATCTGGGATACAAAGAAGCCATAAGCACTGCAAATACACATTGTTCATAATTACAAATAAAACAAAGTGCAGGACTTTACTAAAGTAAAAAGTATGGTTGAAGAACTTCTATGGGGAGCCCCTTGTGGTTCTCTGAAGCTATCTTGCAGAGATGGCTCGCAACTACTAGGTCACATCAGCTGAACAGTTCTATTTGGCTTATTAGGGATCAGAGCCAGAACCTTGCCTCCCCCCCCCTCCCCCCACACTTTACAGAGGTGCAGAGAGCAGGTGACACTCCGCCATCCCATCGGAAAAGCATCCAGAAAATCAGCGAATAAATACAGCCCACCACTGGATTCGAAAGAACCAAAGTCTTGAATCTGCCAAACGAACTTCCCAAGCAATTTACTGTACAGTATATAAGTTATTGAATATCTCAAACCTAGCATGAGCTCGTTAGCACTAAATCCCTGTCAATAAGGTGGGGTGGAGCTCCAGGTCTCCCCCGGCCTTCCAAGTTCGTTCTGTCACCAATGTGGACACCTCCAGTTGTCCACTATAGGGCTCCTGGATTGTCAACCAGTCACACAAGTCCTCGCTATTTCTATGCTAAGTGCCGTCCACTTTTAGATTTTGTCCTGCCAGAGCCATTTGCTTGGTATTTTTCTTTATGTACCTGGATTGTATCTGGATGGGGTTCTAGGAGTTCTTCTGTTCCTAAAGCATGGCCTGGGGCCAGGCTTGACTTAGAATCAGGAGCAAGTTTCTGTTTGGCTTGTGTAGTGTGGACTTGGCTCACAGTGTGCTTGGAGCTGCATGTGCTCAGGGCTAGCCTTCCCTGTGCACTCCCTAACACTGCCCCTGCATTAACAATTCTCTTCTCTGGTGACTCGGAGAGTTCCCAATTTAGGCCACAATATCCATAAAATTGTGGATTCACTATATTATGGATATTCCCTCTGAACCTGCTGTCACCTTGTGCGAGTTTCAGGGCTATTCATTGTCTATGCAAAGGCTACAGTCATTCTTTCTACCTCTGCCATGCTGCCTATTGGATTCATGACACCTGCAACCCTGAATCCTGTGCGATTTGTTTCCCTCATGTGGCTCTTCTCTCAGACCCTCCTAGCAAAATGTAAGCTTATCAAGCAGCTGCCACCTAGTGGGTCTGGTTTACCCACCTTCAGTGCTCGTGGCATTGTGCCCACTTGCACCCCCCAGGGTTTGCCCATCTTATTTTTAGCAACCCAGAATTTGGGGTATTGGTGAATTTCACTTTGGTTCTATTCACACCACCTCTTACTTTCCCTTCAGGTGTGGTGCACCCTGCTTCTGTTTTGCAGTCAGGGCAGGATTTATCTCAGAGGTGTGGCTCAGCCTTCTCTAGGGGCTCCTCCTACTTCAGGCGCAGAGGCAGTTGCGCTGCCTGATCCCACCGAGGTTTATGGGTTTTCTTACTTCCAACAAGCCTCTTCTGAAATCTCTCCTCTGGACTCCACTTTTCTGTCCCAGGTAGTGGGTATGGGGCTTCAGCTCTGCCCCAGAGTTTTCACTTTTGACTTCTGGGGCTTAGGGGAATATGATAGGTGTTCTTTGATTACCTTTGACCCCAAATTGTCCTTCGCGACTTCAGACAAAGACCTTTTGCTTCAGGGTGAGGGGGGTTTCTTTATCCCCATTTTTGCATGATATTGATCTTTCTGTAGCTCTCCCACCAGGATTCGCTTCCACATGCCGTACAGTCCATCATATACATCCTTGCGGGTCCCTCTTCGGTCGCTTGGGTGGATTTCTTTAAATACCTCCTGTATGACTGGATTTTGCCTCTGATGGACAGACCTTGCCTCTTTCCAGTATGGATCTTCTTCACCAAACTAGCTGTACTATGAGGTTCTGGAGTTTTCCTGGCTAGCACCCATACTCCAGGAAGCAGTTGCTGCATTCTACTCTGCACGACACGTGGTTGGTAGACTTTGCTGGCCCAGTCATTTTAATTAGCTTTGTCCTTGGCGCTTGTTATAATTTAGCAGGAAGAGAAACAAATGTGTGCTCCACATGGTGTTGTTGTGTTTGCTGTTGTTGTTTATTACAACAACAAACAATGACGTCACCGGGTATATGATACATGACTTACTATTTACAATGCTTATAAAACAAAAGAGCATCTGCTCAAAACATTATGAACCTAACCTATGTAGTACTTGTTCCTAAAAATACCTTAATCCTAACAGTACTCTTGTCCGCTTCCCCTTTTTTGGCTCTCTTCTTTCTGGCGGGAAATTGTTGCACAGTTCTTGTCCTCTGTAGTGCCTTCATACCATCCCATTAACTAGTGGTGTGTACTCTGCGTTCTCTTCTGTGTTTTCAGAGGCGGTTGAACAAGACTGGGGCTTCACCGGCTGCTGATTGGCATAGGCCCTCAGTGAAGCCAGATTCTGGGTCATATGCACCTCTTATTGGTCATTTTTTGAAGCCTTCAGTGGAGCTGGTCAGTCCCTCATCCCCTTCTGAGGGTCAATGCTTTCAGGGCAGGTCTCTTTCTCCTCTCCTCTGTTGAGTCATTGCAGATTGGGTGACTTTGAGTATGGTCCAAACACGTGTCTTTTTGTTGGGCGTCTCATCTCTTTCCCGTACTGCAACGGGACTTGGCAGAGCTCTCCTTCTTCCTCAATCTTTCAGGGGTTGTGTTCATCCCCTGCATACCCGTATATCAGTAGTTCAGGGATTGGTTAGGTTTCATCATGGGGTGTCAGGCTTACTGCTTCAGGGTTTGTCCCTTTGGCTTGAAACTGGTTCCCTGTATTTTTACCAGGTTGGCTCGGGTTGTGTTGACTTATCACCTTGACTACTGCCTGGTTTGGGTCCCCAGTCAATCCACATGTGCCTGGGATCTGGTTCTTTTCCCAGCTTGCTAGGTTCAGGTTCCTGGTGGACTAGCAAAAGTCCGAGTTGGTATCATCCCAGGTTCAGACTTGGCTGGGTCTGATGTGGGACTTTCAGTCAGCATAACTTTACCTTTCTTCAGTTGCTTTGCTCCGTCTGCTGTGTTGCCGCCTTCTGGCATTGAGGTGGACCTAGGTGTCCACCTAGGTCCACCTAGGAAGATGGTTGCTTGTGCAGCTGTGTGACAGCCTGAACTTTGCCTGTGTGGTTTTCCCACTGGGCAGGGTGTACTCACCAAATTGTGCTTGCGAGGGTTGAGCTCTGGCTCTATGGTCCCACCTCTCAACTGTCAATCAACTGATGTACAGATTCCTAAGCCTACTGGGCTCTATCATATCTACATTTGAAACTGTGTATGGAGTCAGCCTCCACCACATCACACCCTAATGCATTCCATCTGCTAACTACTCTAACACTGAAAAAGTTCTTTCTAACGTCCCTGTGGCTCATTTGGGTACTCAGTTTCCACCTGTGTCCCCTTGTTTGCGTTCCACCCGTGTTAAACAGTTTATCTTTATCTACCCTGTCAATTCCTCTGAGAATTTTGTAGGTAGTGATCATGTCTCCCCTTACTCTTCTGTCTTCTAGTGTCGTGAGGTGCATTTCTCGCAGTCTTTCTTCGTAACTCATGCCTCTTAGTTCTGGGACTAGCCTTGTGGCATATCTTTGAACTTTTTCAAACTTCGTCATGTGCTTGACAAGGTACGGGCTCCATGCTGGGGCCACATACTCCAGGAATGGTCTTACATATGTGGTATACTGTACAAGGTTCTGAATGATTCCTTACACAGGTTCCTGAAGGCAGTTCTGATGTTAGCCAGCCTCGCATACGCCACAGTGGCTTTGCGGCTGTCCTGTTACTCCAGTTTTGTCCCTTCTACAACCTCTGCGACCAGCATGTTTGGGCTCTGATCGCCCTTCATTAGCTGGTGTTTAGCTAGCTTCCTCTTCTGGCTTTTCGAGCTTCGGTTCTTTAGTGCATCCTCCACCACCACTCGACGTGTTTATAGAAGTGTTGGCTCTGGGCCGAGGGTTTCATGATACAGCACTCGCCAAGCTGCTTAGGGCTGTTGGTCAGGTCTGTTCCACTGGGTACAATGTGGTGCACGTGTTTGCGGCCATGTGGCATGCTATGAAGAGAATTTGGATTCCTCCAGGCTCCAGCTTCATTCAGACTGTTTCCCAGTGGTTCATTGCCTAAACTGTGAGGGTTTCCTTCAGTCCACTGCCATTTGGAGATGGATGCTGTGGGTAGTCCATCTACTGGATTCTTGGGTTTTGGTTGTCCACACTGTTCACGTCTGTAGTGTCCAATGGTCTCCACGACTGTCTGTCTCGTTTCCTGTCCATCTCCACAGAGTGGACCGTTGACACCACCTCCTTTCAGTGACTCTGCAAGATACCTGCATTCCCTGGCACAGATCTCTCTGCATTGGCTTGGAATCAGTGTCTTCCTTTCTACATGGCCCCAACTACGAAGCCCATGCAGTGGATGCCTTTGGCTGGACTGGTTATAGTGGGGATTTCTTTACCTATTTCCCCAGTATATCTGTTGCTTTGGGTCCAGGCCAGGTTGAAGTTCTACCAGGAAAAGGTGGTCCTTCTGCTCCTTGGTAGTAGGCGTTAGTATCAAGTGTTGCTTGCACTGTGTCTGAGCCCAAGCATTTTTTTTAGAAGATCAGTCCAGTAACATACCATACTGGCTAAGACTTCTTGGCTCATTGCGTTTGGACTTTCTGAAGAGTGTATCGTCAACTGTATAGCAAGCAGGTGGCCGAATTTATGATGTCCCACCTGCGTTTGTCTCCTTGCGGCAGTATAGAGTAGTTTGGCACTCTTTTTATCACTTCCTGTCCCTTTGTGCATCATTCTTCTGTCTGTTAGTAATGTGCTTTCATTTCTCTTTTGGTTGTTTCTTCATGAGTATCCTATGCCCAATACTGCTGCCTCTATTGTTCAGTGCTGGTGGAGCTGCTACTGCATACATTCGGCATGCAACTGGAAGCTGTCTCATACGTTGTTTCATGCCCTCTTGATTTCTCTTGACCGTATCCTTGCCTTTTTTTCTTCACCTTGGTTCATGGTTCCCCCTGCAGTCTGTGATTCTTTTTTAAAAATCAGTTTTTCTGTTGGCACTCAACTCCGATTGGAAAGGCAGGAATCTTCATACTCTTCTCCAGAGGCGGGGTTATCTATTTTATATTCCTAGTGGGTGTTATATTCATTTGTAGCTATCTTGTTTTCTGGCTGATAATGAGTTAAGTGGGCTTCCAGTGGGGTCTTTGGTTATTGATGCTCAATTAGTTCTGCCAGGGGTATATCCTGTGTCCTGCAGCTCCTCGTCACTACCTTCATGCCACTGATTCCGTCTCGATGGATGCTTTGTGTGCGGAACCTTCTTTCTTGGTTCCCTGTTTCAAGGCTCATATTCTTCAAGTTGTCTACAGTGTTATTAAGTCCAGTCAGCCTGTTGACTACCCTCGTGCCCATGACGTTCGTATGTTGCTCTCACAAAGGTCTTTGCTAACAGGTCATGGGCTGATATTAGAGCGAGGGTGTTTTGGCAGTCTAACAGGATCTTGGTTACCTTGTACAGCATTTGAAGTCTCTAGGTCTCGTCATACCTGTATTGCCTTGGGTCGTTTTTCTCCTCCGGTTGTCACTTCTTTGTCTTGATTGCCTGCAGTCTCACCTCCTCCTTCCTGGTTAGATCCTTGTGTTTCTTCTCCATGGGTAGTTAGTTTCAGGGACCCAAAATGGGCTCCTCCAGAAAACCAGTGTTGAATGTAATGAAATGCCTCCTAAATGAACCCCTATTGTTCCCTAATTACATCCCTCTCTTCTAGATTCATCTGTAGGTGTTTGTAGTCTTCACATGCTACAGAACTGGCTTGGAAGGCTGGGGAAGAATTGGAGCTCCAGACTTTTCATCCCTCCCTTCCCTTACTGGCAGAGGGTTAGTGGAAACGAGCTTGCACTAGTTTTGAGATTTACAATCGTTTCTTAACACTCATTAAGAAGTTCATTTGGCAATTTTGATGCTTCAGTTCTTTTGAAGTCGGCAGTGTCTGAATTGGTTCGCTGACTTATGGATGCTTTCCCTGTAAGTGGCAGAGTGTCACCTGCTCTCTGCTCCTCTGTGAGGGCAAGTGCCAGGTTCTGGCTTTGGTTCCCAGTAGGCAAACAGAACTCCATGGCTGATGAGAACTAGTAGTTAGGAGCCATCCCAGCAAAATAGCTTCTGGGAGCCACCAGGACTCATACAGAAAGAGGTATTTCATTACATTCAACACTTTTTTTTTTGCCACACATTTTAAACACAAGCCCTGCATTAATTTCTTAACAAATCTAGTAGATAATTTTCCCCTTTGCTGGAACAAACCACTATTTATTATTTATAATACAACAAATCCAACAAAAGTGAATGGAATAAGTTTATAAAATTTTACTGTATTTATAGAAACAAATGAGATGATGAAATGATAATTTGGGTTGTGAAGATGCCCATGTAACGACAGTAATACTATTGATATATGACCAATCTCAAATGCACTGAAAGTTAAAGAAAAAAGTAAAAAATACAATGACTTATAAAATCAATAAATCTGATTTGACTGCACATCATCTATAACTTCAGTTGCAAGAAAAAATCTAAAGTTTGTAGAAGAGTATCCAAGTTTACCTCTTGCTGCTGCCGCTGTAAATCAAGCTCCTGTTGGTCACTATAATGCTTTGACTGCTTCTCTTGCTGTTGTAAATTTGACACTCGAGTTTCTAGAGCAGCTCTGCGTCCAAATTCCTTTTCCAACTTTAGCCGAAGTTCCCGCACAAGATCTTGAAGCTGCGCAACATCAGATGCATCTGGCAGAGACGATAAGGGATTAAGAAGAGAGTCTTTAAGACCTGAATTAATGTGGGTACTTTCTTCTGTTTCCGTTGAAGCCGCTGAAATTCCATCATCTAGCTCATCAAGCCCACGTGGAGTAGATAGTGGGTCATGAGCAATCGAATCTTCATCACTAAAAGCTATGCTGCATAAACCACTTCCTGACCCTGTTCTACAGTGTGGTTTACTTAAAGCAGACAAATTAGAGGGTGGTCTGGAGACACTACGTTCATTACTCTTCTCTACTGGTTTGTTTTTTTCTACTTTCTGGTTAGATGTTAATTTAATGTTTTCAGCTATTTTTGTAATACTCATTGGATTTGTTAACAGGTTTTCTTTTGTAGAAACTGAATTTTTTGTTTCTGCATGAGAAAATGTTTCTATAGATGCATCAAGTAATTTTTCTTTGACTGTCTGTATATCACCATTTTCTCTAGTAGCTGATAATTCTGAAGAATGAACTCCACTCACAGATATGGATGATGATCTAGGGGACACAACATTAACTGGGTTTGCTTCTAATATGTCATTACTGATGTTGTGGCCAGTGTCTTCTGACTCAACAACATTTCTTGTACTGGTAGTTTCATCTATACTTCCTAGTTCATTTACATCAATTTTAAAATCAATGCCATTTCCATTCCCTTGTGCTGTATGAACTCTTTTTTTATTGATGCATTCTAGTAAAGTATCAGTATCTCTTCCTGAATGGCCATTTATTTCTTTTAGATTTTCATTACTCGAATTTTGGAGGCTGCTATTAGAGCTGGAATATTTATGTTGGCTAATACTAGCATTAGCTTCCCACACTTCCTCTGTTTCTTGCATTGTTCCCACACGACCTAAAGTTCCTACAACTGTTGATAAAGTATTAGTACACGAGCTACCAGCATTGGTGGCAAGAAGAGAGAGAGTACTTCCTCCAACGTTATTGCTGTCAATTTCTGAAGATTTACTATGTATACGGGTATTTAAATTTTCTCTCGTTTCCGACTGTTGACTTTTTACACTTTCTTCCTTTTTCCCGAGAGACGATAATGGAGCATCGTCACTATTACTGTCCACCGAAGACTCATCTCCTAAAGATTTTAACTTTCTCTTCTCTGCTGCATTTTCAAATTTAATTTGTTCTACAGCAAAGTTGTTTGATGATTTTGATTCTAATTTTCCTTTTGTGGGTGTGCTATTTTTTCTTCTTCGTGGTCGCTGTGATGATATTAATTCATCATCACTGTCGCTGTCAAAATTAAAAGACCTCTCAAGTCGAGACTTAGTACTGGCATTTCTTGGCGACTTCTTTAATGGAGACTTTCTTAAAGACTCTTTTAAAGCAGAATGTTTTCTGCTTTTCCTAGCAGATGTCTGTGGTGAGTAATTGAGTGACAGGTCTGTCTTAATAACTTCTTCACACTGTTCTGGCATTTGTTTAGCAGGAGATTCTCTTTTTGTGTTCAGAGGTGCATGATCTCCAAATGATGTCTGAAAGGCAGATGAATGGGAAACTGTTTTACTTGGCGAAACTTTGACATTGAGTCCATCTTCTGGAAGCATAGAACTTCTCCTGCTTATAATGTTTTTCTTGGGTGTTCCCTCAAGTGGTAGAACTGGCTTTTCTTCATCACTAAAAGATACATCTTCTGATGACTGATATGTTAAGTCATTTAATCCTAGTTCAGCAAGCATATCTTCTCTACTTGTTCTAGAGTGAGATACTGCACCAATATCATCATTTGGGATTTTCTCTTCCTTATTTACTTCTTCATGGAATTGTAAGCCTCTGTTGAATAGCTCAAATGGTTTTAGTTTGGGTTCTTTGTCTTCTTCATCCGATGAGGATTTCCAAGAGTCATCTGCTTTTAAACTGTCTTCTTTATCACTACAAATATCTTCTGCTTTAGCATCCACATTTTCTGAGGCAATACTCGAAGAGCTTGTATGAAGACGTGGGGGTTTTGGAGGACCCAGCCCATTACTCCTGCTGCCCTCAGGTGTGGTGATGGTGGCAAAGAGATTACCAGCAGACTCATCTGATGATGGCAAAAATTTGGTGAGGTTAAGTTTTGGCTTTTCCTTAATAGAATTAATGTCACTACTGTCACTCCAAGAATTATCTGTTCCATCACAATGGCTATGTTTATTTGCTGAAGTTAGCCCCACAGCCCCATCATCATCTTGAGCACTCCCATCATCGCTAACATTTAGCAGGCCTTGTGGAATCACACTTGAACTTCCGTCATCCTTCATCAGCGTCTTTAGGTGGTTATATAATTGATTGTGATTTGTAAAACGAGCATAATCAGCTGCCGACCATTTACTAGCATCAACGCGTGAAAGATCTGCACCGTGATCGATGAGTGATTCAACAAGTGAAACACTACCCAGTTTTGCAGCAACCATAAGAGGAGTCACACCTTCCTTATCGGAAACGTTGACACTAGCACCATGTCTAAGAAGAGCCTCAACGGCTTCTTCCTGGTTTTCAGAGCATGCTATATGCAATGGGGTACGGCCAAGTGAGTTTGGAGCATCATAATCACTGTCACAATCCAGCAATAATGTTAAAAGATCAGTTGCCCCTGTTCTGGCAGCCAAATGAGAGCAGTTGTTCCTTTGGTAGTCAGTCGCCTTTATGTCAACCTGAAATGAAAGATACCAATAAGTGACAAACATCATCAATCTATATCTATAAAATAGAATGTCTGTCTGTCTGTCCAAAGTTGGAGGCCACATGTTTGGATCTAGCCTTGCGAACTTTGCAGGATGACAAATGGGTAGTTGGATACTGTCATAGGCAAGTTGGGGTCTGTCTAATTGTTTCCATTTAAGCAGGGTAGTCTGCTATTGTGACTCCCACACACCTACGAAACTAACCTTGGTTTTATTTTCCATGGAATTTTTTCAATAGTTTTTAGCAGTTCAGTATTGCATGTTGAGAGAGAGTAGGGAGGGGGAAGAGGGGGGAGATGGAGGCAGAGAGAGAGAGAGAGAGGGATGGGGATGGAGAGAGGGAGAGAGAGGGAGAGAAGGGGGGAGGGAGGGAGAGGAGAATGGGGAGTGAGTGAGAGAAGGGACACAGAGAGAGGGGAAGGGAGTGAGAGGAGAAGGGAGTGAGAGGAGAAGGGAGTGAGAGGAGAAGGGGGAAGGGAGTGAGAAGAGAAGGGGGGAAGTGAAAGAAGATGGAAGTGAGAGGAGAAGGGGTGAAAGGGAGTGAGAGGAGAAGGGGGAAGGGAGTGAGAAGAGAAGGGGAAGTGAGAGAGGGGGGGGGGAGTGAGAGGAGAAGGGGGAAGGAAGTGAGAGGAGAAGGGGGAAGGAAGTGAGAGGAGAAGGGGGAAGGGAGTGAGAGGAGAAGGGGGAAGGGAGTGAGAGGAGAAGGGGGAAGGGAGTGAGAGGAGAAGGGGGAAGGGAGTGAGAGGAGAAGGGGGAAGTGAGAGGGGAAGGGAGTGAGAGGAGAAGGGGGAAGGGAGTGAGAAGGGAGTGAAGGGAGTGAGAAGAGAAGGGGGAAGGGAGAAGGGGGAAGGAGAAGGAAGACCTGGACACTGCCAACGACCCCATCTAATACCCAATAAAAAATAATCAACATGAAGCCAACAATCAACATTTATAAACTATATACTGAAGTACTGATTGAAATAAATGCCATTTTTCTGGCGGCTCTTCACTAACTCCCCATAGCTATTTTACTTATTAGAGCCTTCCTTATTGTGAGCATCCATGACCTTGTTGTTAGGACAAGTCTCGATCTTTAGACCTAAGTTCGTCTGATGATCTAAGTGAATGAAATGTTATTATCTCGCTACTGTGGATTTCATCTTTTATGATATGAATGAAGGGGTGAATTATCTCCAGATACCTTTGTGGGGCTGCAGAGAATGTGTAAAATCATAGTTGGTACCAGTTAGGCACTTCTGAAATCTTTCCTTATTGTCACCATCCATGATCTGGTCAGTAGGACTAGTCTCGTACTTTTGAGGCCGGAGTTCGAATCTCTGATGATCCAAGTCAGTACTATCCTAATAGTTTTAGAAAGAAGGAAAAGCCAAATATCTTCCTCCAACTTACTCGTCTTTGAAGAAACAGTTGAACAATCTGCAACTGGGCTCTCTCTACTGCTCTAAGGAAGGGTGTCATGCCAATATTATCCTTCATTTCCACATTACTCTTGCTCCCTAATAAAAAAAGCACAGCATCACCATGCCCTTGAGCTGCTGCATGATGTAAAGCTGTCTTACCCTCACTGTCTTGGGCATCAACAGACACCTGAGAAAACAGAATTATAAATCTGATAAGCCAATACAGTCCTGCAATACTATTGGTTACAGTGCATAAATACCAATCATAATGTCTGAGAGGATGACAAGCATGAGCACTGCAGGAAACCCACAAAGAGCACTTGTCTTATGAACTGCATTTCCCTTTAATAAAGTGTTCCTATTTTAGTTGAGCCAAGACAAATTTGCATATACATTTATAAGGTAACTTTACACAAGGCTGAAATAATAAACAAGTGGGTGAGAACACCTAATCCCCCATGACCAGATAAAATATACTGTCTGTAAGATTGACTTTTGACATAAATTCAGCCTACCCTTGTAATTCTCCTGGTTGTCACCAGGTGGTAGCTCAGGTCATCTGGGTACCTGATTGTACGCAAGGTTTTGGTGCTGGATGAGTTTCATCTGAATTTGAGCTGGTAAGTTTTCTTCTTATTTTTTCCCTCTGGTCCAGATTCTCTTCCTAATGTTGTTTAGGTTGGAGACCTCTGCTGCAAGATGCTTTCTCCTTCTGGCTCCCATGTTCCAAGCCCTCCTCTCTTCCCCCACTTAGCTTCCTAAGCGAGGTTTTGTCTCTCCCAGAGGATCGGCTGTTAAACCTTGCTGGATGGTTCAAGGCTCTCTGTCAACCTTTGTGTAGTAAGTTTTATGGCCTTTTGTACCACCACCTGTATGGAAGACATGGTGTGGACAGTCTTGTGTTGTTAGGCATGCCTTTAGGCTCTTTTTCTTTCTGTCAACTGTCTTCTGTCTATGCGGTGGTGGACTTTAGCTTTCTCCCTTGGTTCTTTTGGAATAGCCACTTTTATTTCCATTACAGTCACAACTCATCAATCAGCTTTGGCATAACCTATCTTTTTTGCTTTTCGGGCAGTTTTGACCTCTCCTCACTTTTTTTATTGATTCGGGTCTTTTGCCTCAGTTTGGCTCACATGGCCCAAAAGCCCTCTTGGTCATTGGTTGGAGCTTGTTCCTAAACTTGCTTTTGAATTTCAACCTTTCCTGAGGAATGTTCTGACAATGCGGCTTTCTTGTTGAGATTCACTTTTGGGAGTCACCATGGTGGGCTACATGTTTTTTTCCCAGAAACGGGGTTTACATGTTCTTGGTCTAGGGACACATTCTCATCATATCTTGCTTTCTGCTTCATATATTGCAGGAATGAGATGCTCACCTTTTGGAAGGGGCCACTGTTGATCAATGCTTGGTTTGGCCTGCCTGGAGCTCCATATGTTCGTTTGCCTAATGACAGCGAAGTTATGTTACTGCCAATAACTGCATTTATATTGTACCTCAATTCTAGATCCATGATTCCTTGTTTTAAGACCTGGTACTCTCAGGTCATCCAGTAGGTCACAGTTTAGCTAGCTGGATGTTTATCACCATATGCATGATGTGTATAAGGATCTCTTTCATGCATTTTTTGTCCCAATATTTCCTAGACTATTATTTTCCCAACTGTGAAGCCCATTGCCATCATGCTGGTGTTCTTTTATTTATTTACCTGAATTTACCCGAGGGCCACCAACACACTAGTGGCCTCAATGAAGACAGGAGGCTGGCATCTTGTCAAAGGTTATCTTGAGGTTATCTTGAGATGATTTCGGGGCTTTAGTGTCCCCGCGGCCCGGTCCTCGACCAGGCCTCCACCCCCAGGAAGCAGCCCATGACAGCTGACTAACACCCAGGTACCTATTTTACTGCTAGGTAACAGGGGCATAGGGTGAAAGAAACTTTGCCCATTGTTTCTCGCCGGCGCCTGGGATCGAACCCGGGACCACAGGATCACAAGTCCAGTGTGCTGTCCGCTCAGCCGACTGGCTCCCTCATTTGTCCTGACAATTTTTTCAAGCTGGATTTTAAAGTTCAGCAGAGTTTTGGCATTTACGGCTTTGGAGGGTAGACAGTTCCATGGGTTTATAACCCTGTGGGTGATAAAAGCATCTCCTGTTTTCAGTCATACACTATGCTTATTGAGCTGGAAATAATTACTCCTTGTCTGCGTTACATCTGACCTTAAGAAGAAGTCGCCTGGATCAACATCCTACAAATTGTTCAGTATTTTGAACATTTCGATGAGATCACCCCTATCATGCCTGGTTTGCAGTGTTGTTAGCCCTGTGCCCCTCAACCTGTCTTGTTTTGACAAGATACATGCTTTCTCATTCAGGACATTATACATTCTCTTTCAGGAAAGACATTCTCCTCTCTGAAGTGCAGTTCTGAGAAAGCTCCTTAGGGCTACTGAAGGGAGGCCAGTTCAGAAATAGTGTGTTGAATATAATGAAATGCCACTTTTTGTGCACCATCTCAGTAGTTGAACTTTTCCTCCGTGTCTTCCATGTGGAATTCAGGGTGTGCCCCGGCTTCCTGCAAGTGTGTCCCAGTTTCCTTCAGTTTCCTGCAAGTGTGCCCCCGTTTCCTTCAGTTTCCTGCAAGTGTGCCCCCGTTTCCTGCGAGCGTGCCCCGGTTTCCTGCGAGCGTGCCCCGGTTTCCTGCGAGCGTGCCCCGGTTTCCTGCGAGCGTGCCCCGGTTTCCTGCGAGCGTGCCCCGGTTTCCTGCGAGCGTGCCCCGGTTTCCTGCGAGCGTGCCCCGGTTTCCTGCGAGCGTGCCCCGGTTTCCTGCGAGCGTGCCCCGGTTTCCTGCGAGCGTGCCCCGGTTTCCTGCGAGCGTGCCCCGGTTTCCTGCGAGCGTGCCCCGGTTTCCTGCGAGCGTGCCCCGGTTTCCTGCGAGCGTGCCCCGGTTTCCTGCGAGCGTGCCCCGGTTTCCTGCGAGCGTGCCCCGGTTTCCTGCGAGCGTGCCCCGGTTTCCTGCGAGCGTGCCCCGGTTTCCTGCGAGCGTGCCCCTGTTTCCTGCGAGCGTGCCCCAGTTTCCTGCGAGCGTGCCCCAGTTTCCTGCGAGCGTGCCCCAGTTTCCTGCGAGCGTGCCCCAGTTTCCTGCGAGCGTGCCCCAGTTTCCTGCGAGCGTGCCCCAGTTTCCTGCGAGCGTGCCCCAGTTTCCTGCGAGTGTGCCCCAGTTTCCTGCGAGTGTGCCCCAGTTTCCTGTGAGTGTGCCCCAGTTTCCTGAGGGTATGCTCTAGATTCCAAGGAGGGAAGGGAGGGAGGGAATTATCAGTTGAGAGTGCCAAGCCATTACGACTATATAACACTGGGTCAGAATAAGGATTTGGGATGGGACAGGGTGAAGGAATGGTGCCCAACTACTTGGACGGTCGGGGATTGAACACCAGTCTGCATGAAGCGAGACCGTCGCTCTACGGTCCTGCCCAAGCCCAAGCTCAGATTCCAAGGAGTGTGTACCAATGTACCAGAGGTGTGATATGAATTCCCTGCTGAGTACCCTGGGTGGGGTCCTAGTTGGCCAGGTATATTCCCTAAGCTTACTAAGTGTGTCCCAGGATATTGGGGTTTTAGAGCCTCGAAATTATCTGATTTCAAAACTTGCCCCTATCTTGTAGAGAGCCAGATTCTGTTCCTCATTCCAAGTAGGTAAGGTGAGCCTCACAAGACCTGTTGCATCTCCTTAAGCCCCTCAGATTCATTACACCATCATTTAGTGCTGGGAATTATTAATGAAAATCCCAGAAAATGTAATAAAATCTGCTAAATTATGATGAAATTTGCTTAAATATGAAACTTGTGGTGAAACCTGCTTAAATATGTATGTACAAAAATCAATCAGTATGATAAATGGGGCAATAAATTCTAACCTTTTTAACAAACTTCTTAAGTTTGTTGGTATCACCCAAGTAGGCCCATTTGTGAAGCTTGGTAAAGTTTTTATCTTGTTTGCTATGTGGGTCTACTTGTGTGATGGCTGTTGAAACTCCACTATTGAAAGAGTCCAACGACTGAGTCTCATAACTGTAGTACGAACCTTTCTGAGGACTACTGGAAAAGGGGAAATAGAAAAGAGAAGAATTAACATTGTAAAGTGAAACATATTTTAGATTACAAATACTTTATTGTATTATACAATACAGTAACCTGTGCTTTAGTCTCAAAATCCTTCCTAAGAAATACTCATTATAGAATCAATGTTGCTTATTTCTATAGTTTTCATGTTGCATACATTTCTGTTATATTAACCTCCTCTCTTAATTCTTACCACCTATAACTCCTTATCTTACTGTTTATGATGCTTTGAAGGTTTAATAAGTCCAAAAAAACAGCGTTGAATGTAATTAACTCCATTTTCTGGGTGAGTTCCGGAGGCTCCCCGGAGCTATCCATGGCTGATACAGATACCCTAACTATTTTGCATCAGTCGATGTGGGTGGAGTTCTAGGCATACCGGGGACCATGAGCCAGAATCTGGCCCCCCCTCACAGAGGCACGAGGAGCAATGGCCCACAGAAATGCACATGTGATTTGGAGCATTCTATATCTGCCATCAACCGGGACAGGCACCCAGAAAGGTAAGTGCCTCAAAACAAACCCCCTATTCTGGTTAACAACGAAAATCGTCAAACGAGTGGACAGAACTCCCCAAAAGAAAAACGAGCAAACAAGCATGACGTCACACGAGCTGCGCCACATGTCTGCGCATCTCCTCCCTCCTCGGGAGGGAGGAGAAGAAGCCCCAGACCCTCGCACCAGTGATCCACACCCCAGTTCTGAGGCTGGATATAAAAAAATGCGAAAACTGCTAACCGGAGGGAGGGAGGGTTGCCGGGGAGCCTCCGGGACTCACCCAGAAAATGGCGTCTCACCCAGAAAATGGCGTTTCATTACATTCAACTCTGGTTTTCTTGGGGGAGCCCCTACGGCTCCCCGGAGTTACTTCAACAAAGTCAAAACAAAAAGAAGGGGATTTACCCGGGAGGCGGTCGTTGCTCTACTCCTCAACTCGAAGTCGAGACAACGGGCTGCAACCGCCGACCCAAAGCGACACAAGCCCGACTGGGGCCAGGAACGTTCACGAGGTAGTGTGCAGCTAGGATCCTGTTCGACCGCCAAAAACCCTGTGCCTGAATGTCAGCCCAAGACATATTGCCAAAGACGGCAGCAAGAGCAGCAAACTTACAAATGTCATGGGCACGGGAATAGACCGCAGACTGGCTAGACTTAATTACCCTGCGGATGACCTGAGAGACCCGAACCCGCGAATAGGGAAGAAGGGAAACCGGATCACCCCAAAGCGCGTCCCCGGACATCGAATCCGTGGCGCGCAGATAACGGTGGAGGGCTACAACTGGACACAACACATGGTGAACCCCTGGCCTGACCATCCAAGCATCAACAACCCAAGGACCCCTCTGGAAAGCAGCAGTCTCATTCTTCGCCAGAAAAGAGGGAGAAGCCGCGGCAGACGAACATACCTATGTTCACGACCACGACCAAAAGAGCAAAAACCTCTGCGCTGGAGAAGAGCATGAAGTTCCACCAACCGACCCCCAGAGGCCAATGCCAACAGAAAAAGAGCCTAAGCAAAACAATCCGGAACCGAAGGGGCCACAACAAAGTGAGAAGAGATATAGGAGAGCACCCTGTCCAAAGACCAGGACGGCTCAGGTGGCGCATGAGCAGGCTGGAGGTGAAACAACGCACAAGACAGTGCGTGAAACGGTGCAGAAGTAACACCGATACAGAAAGCAAGCTGCAACGGCTCCGCCAGCGCCGCACTATATGAAGTGACAGTATTAGGCATAAGATGATGGTCCTGGAGCAACCAAGAGAAAAAGGACACCACCACCTGAACCAAAAGCAAAGAGTAATGAAGAAGAGTCAAAAAGAAAAGGAAGGACCGCCAGGAAACTTCATACTGCTGCCAAGAAGAAGCCCACAGGTGGGAAACCATCAGAGAGGCCACCTGAGCACCAAAGAGATGGTGATAAACTCGAGTCAAAAACACCAAACGCGAAGACTCGAAGAGATGAGCGAACCAATCTCGTACCAGACTGGCCCGATCTCTGGAAAGAGACGGAGCCGCAGAAAAACCTCCGGGTTCAGACACCAGGCAAGCAGCGCCTGAAAACACGGCTGGGCCGGTCACCATGGGGCCAAGAGGACTACTCGCCCCTGGTAATTCTCCAAGCAAGCCAGGACCCAGAGCAACAGCTAAACCGGGGGAAAGAGGTACAGGAACCCCCACCTCGACTAATCCTACCGAAAGGCATCGATTCCGACAGCCTCGCAGTTGGGGAAGGGCGCCACATATACCGTAAGACGCCTCGACCACGCCGAAGCGAAGAGGTCCACCGCCCGAACGACTAGCAGAGCCAACTGAATGAATCGGCGTTGACCGTCCATTCAGTGGACATGGAAACGAACTAGGACAGGCCATCTGCCTGGACGTTGGACACCCTCCGGACGTGAACCGCCAGGAAAGCCAAACCCCGAGAACTCAGCAGACGAGTCACCCGAAGCGATCAACCCCAAAGAGTCAAGGACCGTATCGATCCCCCTCGGTTTAGGCAATGAACCATCGGGAAGCAGTCCGAATGGAGTCGGATCAGCGATCTGCGAGTGACCTGAACCCTCCAAAGCGCAAACCACACTGCCGCGAACTCCCGCACCGTGCTGTGGGCCCGACGGAAAAACGGACCCCACCGCCCCTGGCCGGCCTGGTGAGCACTGGTCACAAAGCCCCAGCCGAGAAACAATGCATCTATGAACACGTTGAGCGAAGGCTCGGGTGGGCGCCAAGGCACAGAACCCCGAAAAACCCGAAGAGGAAACTGGCGACACAGCAGCTGAAACAAGGCCCCCGGGGGTCGAACCCAGCGATCGCGAGAGAGTCGGAAGGGGCATTCCCGAAGGAACCAGAACAGCTGACAAAGCCAAACCCGACCCGGCAGGTAGAACAACATCGCAAAGTTCAGGCTCCCGCACAGACCCTCGAGCAACCGCCGGGTGACATGGGAAACAAGAAACCCCAGAAACAAGCACCAAAAGCTGGGAAAGCACCAAATCCCTGGCGAGCAGACATGCGGACCGACTGAGAGCCCAAACCAGCCAGTCGTCGAGGTAAGCCAACACCCGAACACCTAACAGACACAGACGGGCCACCACTACCAGGGGAAGGAGTGTGAATACTTGAGGTGCCAAAATCAACCCGAACGGGAGACAACGAAAGAGGTAACTCTGACGCCCCACAACAAAACCGAGCCAGTCCCGGAACCCCGGATGAATAGGGATGTGCCAATACGCGTCCTTGACGTCCAGGACACTATCCAAGCGCCCAGCTCCAACAGAAGCCGGACCTGGGACAGAGTAGTCATCCAAAACGAGAGGCAAGAAACCGAAGAGTTCAGACGGGGCAAGTCTAGAATGTCAGATCTAGTGCGGACCTGCCACATTCAGATCAGTCTAGAATGTGGCAGGTCCGCACAGTTCCACTTCGGAACTAGAAACAGGCGAGAAACCCACCTGAGAGACGTCGTCGTTTCGACCACGCCCAAGCGCACCCATTCCAAGATGACCCGACAGAGCGCAGGAGAGGAAGCTTGCCCTGTCAGCCCCAAACCCCCCAAAGGAGGAGGAGCCACCCAACGCCACCGCAGGCCAAGAGAAACGAACTGAAAAGCCCACAAATAGTGAGACCAGGAGTGAGCGAATAGAGCAAGCCTCCTCCTCACTGCCCCGTCAATGGGGCAAATCGCGAAAGGGCCGCTGCCCCCTACGAGAACCCGACCTGCGCGCAGAGCAGGTACAGTCGGGACCGCAGGCGGCACCGGCACCGAACCTGACACCTGTGGTCGACCCCGACGAAAGGAACCGTGAGCTCTGGCACGACCCTGCCAGGAAGGAATCCCCCGGTTCCCCCGGAGAACCAACAACTCAGACATAGCATGGCAAGTGGAAGAAGCCTCCTGAATATAACGATCAACTGCAGAGGCCTCAAAAAGCAGAGGACAAAAAGGGGAAGACAACCTAAGAACCAGAGCCCAAGCAGATTCCAAGGAGGAAGCTAGAACAGCCTGTCGACATGCAAAACGCGCAGCGAAAAACTGCAGCAACGCCTCTCGCAGGATCGGTGCAAACAGCTTCAAAAGAGCAGATGACGCACGAGCAGCCGAGACCAAGGCGTCAGACTCAGGAACGGCCCCAAGCGCCTCCACATCCTCTGCAAGCCAATCTGAAGACAGCTCCAGGAGGGAAAAGAAATGCAGAACCGAAGGCAAAAAGCCACGAGTACGCAAGTCCTCAGCCACAAGCACAGCTGACAGGGAAGGAACCTGCACATGAAGCTGAACCGCACCAATACCCAGCAAAAGGGCAGGAGCGAAAAGGCACTCATTAAGATGCGCAAAATTGCCCCCAGGTAAACCTAGACCACCGTCAACGCCTCGCACCACTCAAATGTGCGGGTCTGACAGAACGTGCCCCAAGCATCCAATGAAAACAAGGGGCAGTCTGCAAGCCAGGATGACCCCCGAACCTCATAATGCACCCAGTAAGGACATGAACATCCAAACCTGAACGAAGAAGGATCCATTATGGAGGCATACTCTGGGTCACGCAGGAGGTAAGCTGCAATGGCTGACCGCACCTCAGGCGGCGAGATGCGGGAAGTCAAAATCCTCCGGAAAGATGGAACCAAAGAATCAGCAGGGACACGGAACCGAACCCGGGGAGGAGCAGAACCCAAGAACCCAAGTCCAAATCATATGCAGTGTGGGGGGGGGGAGGAAGCCCCACTTCTTGCAACAGTAAGCCCCGCACAGAAGTATGGAAAATCCAGGCGGGGTCCAACGGAGGCCAAGGCCCCCAAGTTCGCACTGTGTTGAGTGCATTATCAGTCTCATCCTACCCATATACTCAGACCTTGATAATGCACTCAGGAGAGTGCAAAAGATGGCGTATTTCAAATCTTTACACAAAAACGTAAAAGTTGGTTTTCATCCTTAATACTGTAAATACTGTATAGTGGACCTCTGATCCCTTTCAGATAGTGATAGACTATTTTTGTTGCTAAGGAATGTTACAGTATTGCATCTTACCCAGATCTATGGGGTGAGGTAGATGTGCTTCTGAAAGTGTTGGCAACACTGGATCCTGGATTGCCTGGTGTTGACTGGTCATCATTGCGCCCACTCGCAAGATTTGTCACAGAGCCAAATACGCGTTTCAGCTTCTTCATATTCTTTGCATGTAAATATCAAGAGAAAATTAAAAACTGCTTCACAAAAAAAGAATTTAAATGTACTAGCTCTATTTATAAATCCAACATTATGTTTGTAACTCTTTGTCTATGTATGTACTTTTACCTGAATAAAAATTAGAATTTTGAATTTTGAATAGTGCAATAAATTTAACAAAATATTTGGGTATGTAAAATTTTGACTACAATAACCAGGCCTCACAAGATGATAATGTAGCCAGACAGTAAGTCAAAATAACGTGGCTGAAAATTACACACACAATCCACACATCTGAAAATAAAGGAAATGACAATGTTTCAAATTAACTTGATAATGGTCCATGATGGACCAAAATGTTGTAATTTCCTTAATTCTGAAATGTGTGCATTAAGTATCAAATGATTTACTGTACAGTATATATTATATCCAAAGAAACACCACTGAAAATGCTTTGTAACGAGAGGGAAAATACAATTGTACAGCGGATATAAGATGATGGGACAATTGTAAGTACAGGGGTTACACAAATACAAAGTTACTGCTATGCAAAACATTTTGGGAAATCCAAGACATTACTGCAGTTAAAAAAAACAGCGTTGAATGTAATGAACGGTTACTTCTGCACCGTTTCGCAAGCCATCTCGGGCTTTGTTTAACCTCCGGCCTGCTCATGCGCCGCCTGAGCCATCCTGGTCATTGGACAGAGTGCTCTCTTATCTTTCTTCTCCTCGATTTGTTGTGGCCCCTTTGGTTCAGGATTGTTTCTCCAATGCACTTTTTCTGTTGGCATTTGCCTCTGGGGGTCGGGTTGGTGAGCTTCATGCTCTTCTCCGGCGCAGGGGTTTCTGCTCCTTCGGTCTTCGTCATGGTTTTGTTTGTTTGCAGCCGTCTCCTCCTTTTCTGGCGAAGAATGAGTGTGCTGGTTTCCGGAGGGGTCTCTGAGTGGTCGATGCTTGGTTCGTTCAGCTGAGGGTGCATCATGTTTTGTGTCCGGTTGCGGCTCTTCGCCATTATTTGTGCGCCATGGCTTCGATGTCCGGGGACGCGCTGTGGGTTGATCCAGTTTCCCTTCTTCCCTGTTTGCGGGTGTGGGTCTCCCAGGTCGTCCGCAGAATTGTCCGCAGCCCATGACGTTCGCAAGTTCGCCGCTCTTGCTGCCGTCTTTGGCAACATGTACTGGGCTGACATTCGGGCATGGGGTTTTTGGCGGTTGAACAGGGTCCTGGCTGCTCCTTACCTAGTGAATGTCCCTGGGCTTCATCGGGCCTGTGTCGCTTTGGGTCGGCGGTTGCAGCCAGTTGTCTCGACTTCGAGTTGAGGAGTGAGCAGCAACCGCCTCCCGGGTAAGTCCCTATTCTTTCCTCTGTGGGTAGTTAGCTCTGGGGAGCCGAAGGGGCTCCCCCCAGAAAACCAGCATTGAATGTAATGAAATACCATTTTCTGGGCGAGACCCAGAGGCTCCCTGGCATCCTTCCCTCCCTCCCTCCGGTCGGTGGTTTTTCGTGTGCTTTGACATCCAGCCTAAGAACTGTGGGTGAATAGCCAGCATGAAGGATCTGGGGCTACTCCTTCCCCCTTCTGGGGAGGGGGGGAGCTACGCAGACAACGTGTGACATCGTGATCATTTGCTTGTTTCTTTTAGGGGAGTTCTATCCACTTGTTCGGCTTGAGACCTATAGAACTTGGGCCTACCGGGGCCCAAGTTCCCAAGTTGTTGTCTTGCCTATATAGTGAGTTCTTTGGGGCTTACAGTCCCCAAGTGGGCATTTAAAGGCATAGATGATGTTGGTTTCCTTCAAGGCATTCTGCTTTGTGTCTGGAGAGTTTTTCACGAGTAGGTTGGCCGTTTTTTTGGATTTATAGTAAATCGTCAAATGTATTTTCTGATTTTTGTCTATAGGGATAACGTTCCTATCAATAATAATTTTTCAGGGCCCTTTCCTCAGTTTTATGAGCTGTCAAAAAGAAGTTCCTGTAAAATAGTCTAATAGGGGGGTACAGTTGTTGTATTAGTTGATACCTGGTTACCTGGTTGATGGGGTTCTGGGAGTTCTTGCTTGCTGGGAGGACGTTGAACAACCGCGGACCTCTGATGTTTATACAGTGTTCTCTGATTGTGCCTATGGCACCTCTGTTCTTCACTGGTTCTATTCTAGAGGTTCAGAGGACTCATGTCCTCTGATATTGATAGAGTTCTCTCTCAGAGTACCTGTTGCACCTCTGCTTTCAATGGGGGTATTCTGCACATCCTGCCATGCCTCCTGGTCTCATGTGTATTAACAAACAGACAACCAGCTTCGTTGAATTGTCTCATGTCCAAAACGACCTTAACCCACATTAAAACCACAAGATAATACTATTAACAGTTAAAAAAATACTCACACAATGTGTATGGGGTCCACTACCCCCTGTAGGATGGGTATGTTGTTGTCGTTGAGTTTGGGGTGACGACTATCCAGGGATCGGATGTGCCCCGGTGTACCCTTGAAGCATTAATCGCGAAGCCTAATGATGGAAGGCTTAATGATAGAGATGTTTTTTCACCCACAGGGTTATAAATCCATGGAACCTCCTACCTGCCAAAGCCGTAAATGTCAAAACTGTGTTGTCTCAAAATCTAGCTGGAAAAGATCATCAAGGCAAGGCAAGGGGGATCTTCGACAAGCCGCCAGCTTCCTGTTCTCATCGAGGCCACTAGTGTCTCTTAGGTAAATCAGGAAATTATTGTTGCCTGTGGGCGGAAACTAATGAGCCTGGCCGCCAATAAGCAGACGAAGGGGCAGATGATCAGGGAGCCCCAGGAGTCCCTCAGGGGCAGATGATCAGGGAGCCCCAGGAGTCCCTCAGGGGCAGATGATCAGGGAGCCCCAGGAGTCCCTCAGGGGCAGATGATCAGGGAGCCGCAGGAGTCCCTCAGGGGCAGATGATCAGGGAGCCCCAGGAGTCCCTCAGGGGCAGATGATCAGGGAGCCCCAGGAGTCCCTCAGGGGCAGATGATCAGGGAGCCCCAGGAGTCCCTCAGGGGCAGATGATCAGGGAGCCCCAGGAGTCCCTCAGGGGCAGATGATCAGGGAGCCCCAGGAGTCCCTCAGGGGCAGATGGTCAGGGAGCCCCAGGAGTCCCTCAGGGGCAGATGGTCAGGGAGCCCCAGGAGTCCCTCAGGGGCAGATGATCAGGGAGCCCCAGGAGTCCCTCAGGGGCAGATGATCAGGGAGCCCCAGGAGTCCCTCAGGGGCAGATGATCAGGGAGCCCCAGGAGTCCCTCAGGGGCAGATGATCAGGGAGCCCCAGGAGTCCCTCAGGGGCAGATGATCAGGGAGCCCCAGGAGTCCCTCAGGGGCAGATGATCAGGGAGCCCCAGGAGTCCCTCAGGGGCAGATGATCAGGGAGCCCCAGGAGTCCCTCAGGGGCAGATGATCAGGGAGCCCCAGGAGTCCCTCAGGGGCAGATGATCAGGGAGCCGCAGGAGTCCCTCAGGGGAACAAAGCACCAGACCGCTCCCTACCAAGAACTCGGCCCCACACTAAAACGCAAAAAGTCATCCAGAGATACTACACTGGAACTGCAATGGAGTTCGCAGTAGACTTAATGACATCATACAGTAGGTCCGTGAACACCAAGCTGCCGTCATAGTGCTACAAGAGACACTATTGTGTTGATTTAGGGGCGACGACGATCGTGGGGCAGGTGTTGACAACAACCCAACGTTAAGCGGTTATCACAAGTTCTCCCTGCTCTCTGCCCATAGAAAACGGGCCTCATTATTATTATTTATTTATTTATTTATTTATTTATTTATTTATTTATATACAAGAAGGTACATTGGGATTGTGAGGATGCATAGCATAGTAATTACATTCTTGTAAAGCCACTAGTACGCGCAGCGTTTCGGGTGAAGCGCGTCTAAGTAACTGGGCCTCCACTCTTCAAGCAGAATTGGTTGCCATAATCCTTGCACTAGAGCGCGTATATGAATCCAAAGTTGACACGCTAATTGTAAGTGACTCCTTGTCATCCTTGACTGCCCTTAGCTCCCCAAGGCATAACTGTGACGTGCTTATCTCTGAAGCTAGACACAGATATACTGAAATAATCAATGATGGAGTCAGAGTTTGTCTCCTGTAGATTCCTTATCATATTGGTCTCCGAATGCATGAGAGAACTGATGAGCTAGCCAAGACTTTTGCTCGTAAAGAGGGAATTGATTACCAACTTGGACTGCCTTTGAGCAGCCTGAGGTCAGCAATATCCCAGGAACATCAACTAAATTTCGGAGACTTGAGGCAAAGTGAAATTCACACCAGTTACTCCATCTATCATCATTCTATTATGCATGAAGAACCGCACGTCTATGGGTCATCCAATAATGTTAGCAGACTTCTAGATGTTACCACTGCTAGGCTTAGGCTCGGCTACAAGTACCTCTGGGAATTTGTAACATCTGTTGATGTAGATTTGACTAAATGTAAACTCTGTCAGCAGAACTATTCGCATACTTTGCGTCATTATATAATGGAATGTGAAAAAATTGCGGAATTTAGAGATAACACCATCAATAGTGTCCAAGAAATGTGTAAGTACTTCATTTATAATGATGTGCTGCCCGAAATCTTAGCGAAGTATCCAAAATTTGCTTACTGTAGGTAATGCATGCATATGACTGTAAAGCTGCCGCCCAGTTGGGTGGGTGTGCAGCAAGACTAGTAACTGTGTGACTCACTATAGATGTAAAGTGCCTTGTATAGTGACTGTTGTGAGCCTCTTGTTGATCATTTGTGACACAAAAGATTATTGATGAGTGTATTTGAGTGGGAGATTAAATATGTATGTGTATGTATATATGTATATGTACATGTATGGATGAGTATGTGTACATGTATATATAACATTAATAATTTTGTAACTAGCGTCGAAAGATTGTTATTTGCTTAGCTAAACGAACTAGAGGGTTCAGTTCCTGAACCGATTATGTGCCTCTGTAATCCTTTACACCACCGCCCACGGGATGGGTGTGGGGTGAATAATAAAGAAATTGAATTGGGCAGGTCCTTAATCTAAGAAACTTATAAGTAGGTAAATACTTGCAAAATTTATAAAAATGATAACAGTTACAAACCAAGAAAAAAAATAAAAGATGAGAGAAAAATTGTAGGTATATTAAAGCACATAGGTAGCTCAGAATGATTGCAATGACAGCTTGAATGGTAGTTTAACAAAACTTAGCAGGCACAATACAGCTTATGGCTAGCACATAAATGAAGACAGCAATGAACACAATGATAAAGTTGTTTGGATTCAGTACATAAAGATTGGGAGATTGGGTAACACTAGATACAGAGCAAATTTAAAGCTCAGTGTAGGAAACTACGAAGATGAAATTAAGTACTTTTTGGTTTGTTTTTAAATGAGGCAAAAGTTTGACAGCTTTTCAATTCACTAGGGAGTGAGTTCCATAGACTAGGTCCCTTAATTTGCATAGAGTGTTTACACAGATTAAATTCGACCCTGGGGATATCAAAGAGATATTTATTTCTGGTGTGGTGATAATGGGTCCCATTACATCTGAGTTTCAGAGTATGGTTTGCTTTTAAGAACAGGGTTTTGTAAATGTAGTTGACAGAAGAGAATGTGTGGAGGGAGTTAATATTTAGCAAGTTTAGGAATTTAAACAAGGGAGCTGAGTGTTGTCTGAAAGCAGAGTTTGTTATTATTCTGATAGCAGATTTTTGCTGGGTGATGATGGGCTCAAGGTGGTTTGCAGTGGTAGACCCCCATGCACAGATACCATAATTAAGATAGGGGTAGATTAGTGCATAATACAGTGAGAGGAGAGCAGAGTTAGCAACATAATATCTTATTTTAGAGAGTATACCAACTGTTTTAGAGACTTTCTTAGTTATGTGTTGAATGTGGGTGCTGAAGTTGAGTCTCTTATCTAGGAATAGGCCAAGAAACTTGCCATCATTTTTTATTACTTTACTTTATTATTTTTATTACTGATGTTAATGTTGTCTATCTGTAGCTGAATTGCATTCGATGATTTTCTTCCAAATAAGATGTAGTAGGTCTTTCCTATGTTTAGTGTTAGTTTGTTAGTTGACATCCATAAGTGGACTTTTTTAATTCATTATTCACAACATTATTTAGTGTATGTGGGTTGGGGTCTGAATAGATGAGGGTAGTATCATCAGCAAATAATATAGGTTTAAGAATATTAGAGACATTAGGCAGATCATTGATATATATAAGAAATAGAAGAGGTCCTAAGATGCTGCCCTGTGGCACTCCAACGGTTATTGGTAGAGTGGAAGAGGTTGTATCATTGATGGTTACACATTGGTGTCTGTCACTAAGATAGGATCGGATGTAGTCAAGGGCAAGGCCTCGGATTCCATAATGCTGGAGTTTAAGTAAAAGGTAGTTGTGATTAACAGTATCAAAGGCTTTTCTTAAATCAATGAAGAGTCCAATCGGAAACTCATTTTTGTCAAGAGCTGAGTAGATTACGTCAAGGAGACTAATAATTGCATCACTGGTGCTCTTTTGGGACCGGAAGCCAAACTGGCAGGGGCTGAGTATGTCGAATTTTACGAGGTAGGAATAGAGCTGTTTGTAGATAATTTTTTCAAATATTTTTGATAGAATGGGTAGATTTGATATTGGTCTATAATTGTTTATGTCCGCCGGATTGCCTCCTTTATGAACTGGCGTTACTCTTGCTTTTTTAAGGATATCAGGGAAGGTATGACACTCTATAGATTTGTTGAACAGTAGGGCTATGGGTGGGACAAGGGCATGGGAGGCGCTCTTGTACACAATGGACGGAATTTCACTGGTGTTCCCTGCCTTGGTTTTTAGAGAGTGTATGATGGACACAACATCTGCCGGGCTGATTGGTGAAAGGAGAAGAGAGTTTGGATAGCTGCCTGAGAGATATGTGTTGATATGTGTCTGAGTCTGTGGGATTTTACTGGCAAGATTAGCACCAACCGATGAAAAGAAGCTATTAAATTCATTTGCCATTTCTAAATCAGTTGACGGTGTATACCCATCCTTGTAGAGTTTTATTTGGTTATGTGAGTGTTGTTTAGTTCCAAGGATACTAGAGATTGTTTTCCAAGTGCTTTTCATGTTGCCTTTTGCTTCATTGAATCTATTCACATAATATGCAAGTTTTGCCTTTCTTATGATACTGGTAAGCATTGATGAGTACCTTTTAGCTACTTCCTTTGAAACTAGGCCAATCCTAAGTTTCTTTTCATATTCATGTTTCTTGTTGATTGAGTTAAGAATGCCACTTGTGAGCCATGGATTGTTTAATCTTTTGTCAGTTACTTGCTTGGTAAGAAGGGGGCAATGAAGGTTGTAGAGGCTTAGAGTTTTGGAGAGGAAGAGGTTAGCTAATGAATTTATATCCTGAGTATTATTGAATTGGGGAAAATGGGGAAGACTCGTCGAGGTGACAGCAATGAACGTCAGGAACACACTTCCTTCAGAGAACAATACTAGTGAGGTCAAAATAGGATATTATGGGTTGGTCTCGTCGTTTGTTTCAATCACATTTGGGTCACTGTGTACTTGGCTGCCTTCTGGGGGTGCTACATCATTTGTGGGTAGCTGTGGGCTCATGGAGCAGCTGTGGTCTCATGGAGCAGCTGTGGGCTCATGGAGCAGCTGTGGGCTCATGGAGCAGCTGTGGGCTCATGGAGCAGCTGTGGGTAGCTGTGGGCTCATGGAGCAGCTGTGGGCTCATGGAGCAGCTGTGGGCTCATGGAGCAGCTGTGGGCTCAAGGAGCAGCTGTGGGCTCATGGAGCAGCTGTGGGCTCAAGGAGCAGCTGTGGGCTCATGGAGCAGCTGTGGGCTCAAGGAGCAGCTGTGGGCTCATGGAGCAGCTGTGGGCTCATGGAGCA